TCAATTTAGATTTTGAGATTCAAATGGTTAAGTTTTGGAGCTGAAAAGTTCAAATTTTGTGGTTTAATGAAACTTTAATAATTATTGCAAAGGTTGCAGTGATATTCAGTTTAGATTTTGAGCTTCAAATGGTTAAGTTTTGGAGCTGAAAAGTTCAAATTTTGTGGTTTAATGAAACTTTAATAATTATTGCAAAGGTTGCAGTGATATTCAATTTTGATTTTAAGCTACAAATGGTCTAGTTTTGGAGCTGAAAAGTTCAAATTTTGTGGTTTAATGAAACTTTAATAATTATTGCAAAGGTTGCAGTAATATTCAGTTTAGATTTTGAGCTTCAAATGGTTAAGTTTTGGAGCTGAAAAGTTCAAATTTTGCGGTTTAATGAAACTTTAATAATTATTGCAAAGGTTGCAGTGATATTCAGTTTAGATTTTGAGCTTCAAATGGTTAAGTTTTGGAGCTGAAAAGTTCAAATTTTGTGGTTTAATGAAACGTTAATAATTATTGCAAAGGTTGCAGTGATATTCAGTTTAGATTTTGAGATTCAAATGGTTAAGTTTTGGAGCTGAAAAGTTCAAATTTTGTGGTTTAATGAAACTTTAATAATTATTGCAAAGGTTGCAGTGATATTCAGTTTAGATTTTGAGCTTCAAATGGTTAAGTTTTGGAGCTGAAAAGTTCAAATTTTGTGGTTTAATGAAACTTTAATAATTATTGCAAAGGTTGCAGTGATATTCAGTTTAGATTTTGAGATTCAAATGGTTAAGTTTTGGAGCTGAAAAGTTCAAATTTTGTGGTTTAATGAAACTTTAATAATTATTGCAAAGGTTGCAGTAATATTCAATTTAGATTTTGAGCTTCAAATGGTTAAGTTTTGGAGCTGAAAAGTTCAAATTTTGTGGTTTAATGAAACTTTAATAATTATTGCAAGGGTTGCAGTAATATTCAATTTAGATTTTGAGCTTCAAATGGTTAAGTTTTGGAGCTGAAAAGTTCAAATTTTGTGGTTTAATGAAACTTTAATAATTATTGCAAAGGTTGCAGTAATATTCAATTTAGATTTTGAGCTTCAAATGGTTAAGTTTTGGAGCTGAAAAGTTCAAATTTTGTGGTTTAATGAAACTTTAATAATTATTGCAAAGGTTGCAGTGATATTCAGTTTAGATTTTGAGCTTCAAATGGTTAAGTTTTGGAGCTGAAAAGTTCAAATTTTGTGGTTTAATGAAACTTTAATAATTATTGCAAAGGTTGCAGTGATATTCAGTTTAGATTTTGAGCTTCAAATGGTTAAGTTTTGGAGCTGAAAAGTTCAAATTTTGTGGTTTAATGAAACGTTAATAATTATTGCAAAGGTTGCAGTGATATTCAGTTTAGATTTTGAGATTCAAATGGTTAAGTTTTGGAGCTGAAAAGTTCAAATTTTGTGGTTTAATGAAACTTTAATAATTATTGCAAAGGTTGCAGTGATATTCAGTTTAGATTTTGAGCTTCAAATGGTTAAGTTTTGGAGCTGAAAAGTTCAAATTTTGTGGTTTAATGAAACTTTAATAATTATTGCAAAGGTTGCAGTGATATTCAGTTTAGATTTTGAGCTTCAAATGGTTAAGTTTTGGAGCTGAAAAGTTCAAATTTTGCGGTTTAATGAAACTTTAATAATTATTGCAAAGGTTGCAGTGATATTCAGTTTAGATTTTGAGCTTCAAATGGTTAAGTTTTGGAGCTGAAAAGTTAAATTTGAACTAAATTTGAAATTTGTGGTTTAATGAAACGTTAATAATTATTGCAAAGGTTGCAGTGATATTCAGTTTAGATTTTGAGATTCAAATGGTTAAGTTTTGGAGCTGAAAAGTTCAAATTTTGTGGTTTAATGAAACTTTAATAATTATTGCAAAGGTTGCAGTGATATTCAGTTTAGATTTTGAGCTTCAAATGGTTAAGTTTTGGAGCTGAAAAGTTCAAATTTTGTGGTTTAATGAAACTTTAATAATTATTGCAAAGGTTGCAGTGATATTCAGTTTAGATTTTGAGCTTCAAATGGTTAAGTTTTGGAGCTGAAAAGTTCAAATTTTGTGATTAAATGAAACTTTAATAATTATTGCAAAGGTTGCAGTAATATTCAATTTAGATTTTGAGATTTAAATGGTTAAGTTTTGGAGCTGAAAAGTTCAAATTTTATGGTTTAATGAAACGTTAATAATTATTGCAAAGGTTGCAGTGATATTCAGTTTAGATTTTGAGATTCAAATGGTTAAGTTTTGGAGCTGAAAAGTTCAAATTTTATGGTTTAATGAAACGTTAATAATTATTGCAAAGGTTGCAGTGATATTCAGTTTAGATTTTGAGCTTCAAATGGTTAAGTTTTGGAGCTGAAAAGTTAAATTTGAACTAAATTTGAAATTTGTGGTTTAATGAAACGTTAATAATTATTGCAAAGGTTGCAGTGATATTCAGTTTAGATTTTGAGATTCAAATGGTTAAGTTTTGGAGCTGAAAAGTTCAAATTTTATGGTTTAATGAAACGTTAATAATTATTGCAAAGGTTGCAGTGATATTCAGTTTAGATTTTGAGATTCAAATGGTTAAGTTTTGGAGCTGAAAAGTTCAAATTTTGTGGTTTAATGAAACTTTAATAATTATTGCAAAGGTTGCAGTGATATTCAGTTTAGATTTTGAGCTTCAAATGGTTAAGTTTTGGAGCTGAAAAGTTCAAATTTTGTGATTAAATGAAACTTTAATAATTATTGCAAAGGTTGCAGTAATATTCAATTTAGATTTTGAGATTTAAATGGTTAAGTTTTGGAGCTGAAAAGTTCAAATTTTATGGTTTAATGAAACGTTAATAATTATTGCAAAGGTTGCAGTGATATTCAGTTTAGATTTTGAGATTCAAATGGTTAAGTTTTGGAGCTGAAAAGTTCAAATTTTGTGGTTTAATGAAACTTTAATAATTATTGCAAAGGTTGCAGTGATATTCAGTTTAGATTTTGAGCTTCAAATGGTTAAGTTTTGGAGCTGAAAAGTTCAAATTTTGTGGTTTAATGAAACTTTAATAATTATTGCAAAGGTTGCAGTGATATTCAGTTTAGATTTTGAGATTCAAATGGTTAAGTTTTGGAGCTGAAAAGTTCAAATTTTGTGGTTTAATGAAACTTTAATAATTGTTGCAAAGGTTGCAGTGATATTCAATTTAGATTTTAAGCTTCAAATGGTTAAGTTTTGGAGCTGAAAAGTTCAAATTTTGTGGTCAAATGAAACTTTAAAAATACATCGTTTAAAAAGGAAGCTCTATGCTTATTGTGAATAAAATTGGGTTTTTCAAGTAGCTATAACGTAGAGGACGTCATAACCTAACGTCTCTCACATGAACTTTTGAGGTTGCATCTGAATGCTTGTTTACAAATAAAAGATACAATAAACATTTAACATGACCAGAGATCATGCATGAATGCTTTCGAAAAGCTTTGATCTTCAATTGAGAAATTCTTTGGAAAATTCAATTAGTCCTGCTTTAGACTTCTTGCATCCTTTAGATTTACAGATTTTTTAAATGCAGAGGCTTCCAATTAAAGTGATCTCTAGGGTTACCATCTAATTTTCATGAAAATACAGGACTTTTGGTAAATTTTTTTGAAAAATACAGGACACAGAGTAAAATTCGAAAATTAACGGAAATTTTCTTTTTTTGAAATACAGGACTGTCCGTTGTAAAACTACGCAGATGGTCACCCTAGTGATCTCATAGTTATTAGACCATAATCTTTCTTAAAACTTCCAAAAAACCAAACTCCTTACCACTTACAGCATCCAAAATCCTCCAACCCAATCGAAAGTGTTAAAAAAGTAACGAAGAGTCTTACAAAAATCACACCGAGGAAGGAAGAAGAGTCTAGAGAATGGAAAAAATTTATCTTGTGTGGCATAAAGCAGCACAATAAAAGTATAAAAAAAAGATTGAAATAAAAACTTACATCTGAAACTTTTCGATAATCAAGTAAATAAATTTTACTTTCCTAACAAGAACGAGAAGGAACTGAACTTCTGTAAAGTAGGTGAGCAGTCTAATTTATTGATTTTGAGGTTACGAGTATAAGTAGAATTATAATAAATTGTGTTGGAATGTATTAAGGTGAAAATGTGCATATCTGCAAGTAATTTCGCAGTGGTTTGTTGGGGATTGATGGAAATTGCGGAAGTGATGTGGAGTTTTTGATAAAATTTAAGGGTTTTGTGGCTGTTAGGTGTGATTTTGAAGTAGAGTTGAATCATATAGATGTGAGCTGTTTAAGGTAAGATCTACTCTAGCTGAGCATTCCTTAAGCTGAGCGTTACTTAAGCTGAGCGTCACTCAAGCTGAGCGTATCTCTTGCTGGTCGTCTCTTTTGCTGAGCGTCTCTCTAGCTGAGCTTCACTCAAGCTGAGATTCACTTGAGCTGAGCGTTTCTCTAGTTGATCGTCTCTATAGTTGGGCATCGCTCTAGCTGAGTGTCTCTCTAGCTGAGCATCTCTCTAGTTGATGGTTTCTCTAGTTTGACGTCTCTTAAGCTGAGCGTTTCTCTAGCTGAGCGTTTCTCTATCTGAGCGTTTCTCTAGCTGAGCGTTTCTCATACTGAGCGCTTTTATTTAACCTTCCAACAAGCTGAGCATTATTTTTTTTAAAAATTTTATATCAATTAGCCTCGATCAACTAAGTACAATAGTCTTAAATACAGTCAGTAGCTTTAATTCATAAAATTCAATCATCCCACAATGGAATCAACTCATCCAACCCCTTGAAATTCCATAAAACAAACTCAAACAGAGAGAAAAGTAAAAATTTATCTCATAGGAGCAATAAGCTGTGTAATAAAATATTCGAGTGCAATAGCAACTAAGCATTCATACAGATTCACAGCTGAACGAGTTCATCCATTCCAACTTTAATTGGCTTTAAATTTGATAAAAATAAAAAATTCACGTTGATTTTTTCACCACCAGTAAGCTTGGCATGCGTAAAATTTTCATTTTGATAAAAGCTTTCAAAGTATTAAGACGTTTTTAAAAATTTTGTCTGTTTCATTTCGTGATTTAAATTAATTTTCAAGTGAGGAATTAAAATTATTCAGCATGGCTTTATGGATGAAGAAACGTATGGTAGAAAGTCAACGACGAAATGGCTTGTATGACAGCAACGAATGTGGATTTGACACGAATAATTATGGTGAGATGGAAATGAACTTTTGTGAATGGGAAATTGGTAGTTGACAATGACGTTGTAGGAACTTAAAGTATTGTTTTGGGAGTTCTTGTCATTTTTCACTTTTAAAATCAAAAATTCAGACATTAAAAAATATCGAAAGAATTTCGAAAGCTAATTGAAATCAAAATCAATTTGACATCACCTATTTCAATTCCAATTTGATTACAGCACCAGAAATGAATTGTGTGAAACCAGTTGAACCTCAATTTAATTACAATTTCCAAAGTTGGTCCCCAACGACATCGTCGAATTATACATCAATGCCAGAGATAAATGATCAGCAGTGCCAACAACAATCAACTTATCTGGAGCAAGTCCAAGACTCAATAGAGGCGAAAAAAGAGTTTAAGCATCAGCCAAATGTGCCACAATCCAATCTAATAAGTTCCAATGCTCAGGGATGGACTGTTGTGGATGAGAATAAAAATATCTCAGTCGCAGCTGATCGAGGAGACTCGAATGTTATGACTTTACCACCAGGCGCCTATTATGGTAAAATCTATTTTTATAGAGCTTGCATTTGGCTATAGGGTCGTTCGTAAATGATGTCTAAGCAGTTATTTGAGTTCGAAAGATGTTAAGTCTTCGTATTACACAAAGTTAAGTCAAGCACCCTCTCACAAGAGTGTCTCATGAACTAGACATCATTTACGAACGACCCCAAACAGCAATGAATATTATTGCAACAGTTATATGCATGTTGTCGACATTATTAACTCAAGTTCTCTCTATTTCCTCCATTCATACAGATGAGCCAATTTACATTGACCCAATGACCTATCAACAGCAGCATCAGCAACAGCAACAGCAAGCTAATTCAATTAATGTTGCATCTAATGCCGCCACTCAAATGGATTTCCGACAAAACTTGGCACAATCATATCGATGCGCAAATGCTGACTGTACGAATTGTAGGAACAGCATGGGAAAATCATAAACTGCTTCTCACATCTTCATCTTAATTTTTGTGTAAGTGAGCTTAAAAATTCTATAATAAAAAAATTTCATTTTGTCATAAAAAAAAATTTAATAATTCTCATCCTTCCTTGAATGGTCCTTTATGTCATTGAACGGTAGCAGCTTTTTGTCATCTTAAAATATATTATGAATATATATAAATTATAAATAATGCAAAGCTTATTTTCCTCCAGAGGATATTAATTCTCGCGATAACAAAATCGCATTTTGTCGTCTTCAATGACGTACTTCTTATTGTGTCTTTTATGAAAAGGATGAGGAAGTAATAAGATTGTGATGGTGTTTTTTGGAGTGGGTTTGTGAGAGGCGCAGCTTTATTGTCTGCTTTTGTAAATTTATAAAATCATTGGCTCTGGATTAAAACTTCTAGATACGATCTTCAACAGGATCTAGGGATGGTTTCAGCTTTATGGTTCCAATTAGGTTCAATCTAGTCTAATCTCAGTCGTTCAAATCTACAGAACTAGAGTTAAAGCTAAGTTCACTGATTATGTTTACTTTTTAAGGGAAAAAGGTTTGGAAGATCTAAGATTTTATTGATTCTCTTTATCGCTTCTCAAACTTAAACTTTAACAAAACAAAGCATTTAAAGAGCTTAGCTAAAGTCTTGATCAAGGTTACATTCAACCCACTGCCAAGAAACTAGGTCAAAATCACAAAAATGTCATCTACAAATCTAAAAATCAAGCACTAAAATTCTCAGAACTGAATTTATTCCAAACTTTTTTCTGAATTGATATCTTAATAGAAGAGCTTGCAACTTTATTTTCTTATATATTGCTCAGATGGAAACTCATAAAAGAAATCAACGATAACAACGTGAATTGAATATTTTTTTTTCCTTCTATTAAGTGCAATTCCTTTGCATTTATTGTCCTTGAACGACAATGGAACAATGTCCATATTTGATTTTCTGCTTATCGTCAGATGAAGATTTATGGATCTGCTGATGATGATTAGATTATGTATCATTAGCTAGGAACATGAAAAAGGCATTTAGTTGAATTGAGACTCAGTTCCTTATTGGATTCCACCAATCTATCAGAAACAATTGAATATTGACATTTCAAAGAATTTCTCATAACCTACCTCAAATAATAACATCCACGACAAGGTCTTCCTTACTTTGTTTTTTGTTCTTGTTTGTTTGAAAACATTTAAAATTGATGATGTGGCTGGATTTCTTATCGAATTTATTAGTCTTGAAGTGTTTTCAAGTTGACACTGGACTTGATGGATCATAAACTGTCTGGATACAAAGTTACTGTGTTAGTAGCTTGCTAGAATGTGGAATATTTATGAAGCTTTAGTTTTGTATTTGTTATGAGAAAAAAACTTGGAAATTGCTTATAAATGTTGAATTTAAAGTTGTTTGTTGGATTTATTTGGTGGGATAGTAAGCAGTTGATGCTTGATAGCTTGTCATGATATAGTTTAATGAAGAAAATAAAGCTTTAAGTTTAAATTCTTAAATCTTTGTTTACAAAAACATTCAAATTTTTATTTTTTTAAGTTTTCTGTTAAAGTAAGCTCAATGCTCGTCCTAATATTAATCTACACATGCTTAATATTTATTAGAATAGCAATTGATAGATCCAGGACAGTAAAAGTTGAGAAAAATAGAATAAAATCATCATTTCAAGACTTTGTATCATTTCTATTCAGAAAAACAAGCAGGAATTGTTAGAAAAGACTATCCAGCATAAATCTCAGCATCTGCTTTTAAACCCAAAGCCTTTTAATGACATATTACATTAAAAATCAAAATTTGTCTTCTAGAATATTTAAAATATCACCTTCAATTCAAATTCACCTTGAGAAACTATCCAGTCTCCATAATTAATACATCTTAATATCTACCAGCTGTTCACGTGACACGATAAACATTTCCAAACAATGTCTGACTTCCACCAACTTTTTTTACTTACTCAAATTATTTATGTGGCTTAGCATTGAAAAATTAATGCACTCAAGACTCGTTCATTAAGCACACACAAGTTATTCAGAAGCTCCAACTTAATCACTGAAATGTAATAGATGACATGAGAGGAAAAATCAATATGTGAAATGTCATGGAAGGAGAAAAACTAGTAGAAATGTCACGAATGCGATGAATCTGAAGACTTATGTTTGTTTTCTTCGTCATTAGAGTCTGGAATAATTGATATTGTCAGCTTTTCAAGTACATTCATGGAATAGAGTTAAATTTCAATGAAATTTGTAAGTTTTAATTGCACTTAGAGTGACTGTTGCAGACTTTATACTTGGCAAGAGATTTAGAGGAAGACCAAAGAATCCCTGGATTGGATGTGCTGAAAATGACACTAGAGTCCTTAATATCCCAAACTGGCAGAATGTCTCGAAGGATAGAGCTGTCTTTAGACGATCTCTGAACGCAGCAAAAGGCACACGTGCGCCCCAGCCAAGGAAGTAAGTACATAAGTAAGTTTTTCTGATGCAAATTGAAGTTTAATATGTAATAATGACTAGATACAAGATGCTTATTATCTAAATCACTTGTTATAGGCGAATCGATTCAGTTGAGCAGTGTTGAAAGGCTTTGGCATCTAAAAATTAAATTAAATTAATGAACCTAAGTTCAAATCCCAGCAAGGTTCTAATTTGTTCTGTATTGAATACATTGGTTAATACAGACACAAAAGTAAGATAAACAGCCTTTAATAAAGTGATTTCTAGGAGCTAGATCATTAACAACTTAGAAACTAGCTAGCCTAGCTTAAAGCCAGTCTATATGAGTTCATTTCTTACTGTTAGCTTCTTTAAAATTAACCTTTATTCCTTCATATTATTGAGTGGGTTCGAATCTTATTATAAGCTGTGAATCCTATTCTACGTGCCTATACCTACGATAAATAAACTTCACAGAGGAGGACTTAGCAATATTAGCAATCATGCAAATATTACAAATTTTTCAACAAACTGACCTTAAAATCATCGATTTTACAACTCAATCTCCCAAAAAATTGACCATAAAGTCATCCCACAAAATTAATTTATTGTGGTTTATGACCCAAATAAATCATCCCAAAGATTTTCAAAACACAATATCCTTCCATAACTTTTTAAATTGCTCTAAATATCCACTTGTCATTTTATTTCTTTATGGCTGCCTCTTTAATTTTGAAATATTTTATTGATTACATTTTTCCTCATGTTGGGTAAAACTTTTTCACCCCCTTTACCTTTTATGGATCTTTTCCTTTTTCAAGCACAGTAAAATGAAAAATTTTATTTGATGTATGTCAAGTCTCATAACTTTTCTCTTACTTTTCTATTAGACATAGGACTCATATAACTCTATCGTGCTCACGTTGGGGAGTTTGTCAGTGACGTAAATCATTCAGATTGAAGCAGATGAGTAGCTAGAGAGGACGTTTTTAGGTTTAATCGATGTATAAAGTAAGGAATCTAATAGAAAAAATATATTAATGTACCTAAGGTTAGGGACATCCATATATGATAAACTTTTAACATCAAGGTATTAAAGCAGTGGTTCTCAAACTGTGTGACGCTATTCTAGGAAACATTTTAATTTCAAAAATGTGCTATGGACTAAAACAGTTTGAAAAACACTGTATTAGAGGTTAGGTTAGGGCACCGTTTATAAACGACGTCTAATGACGTAGAAGGTCTGGAGTATTTTATAGACATCAATTATGAACGGCCCCTCATAAAATTAACAATTAACTTAGTTGTCAACCCCTTTAAGCAGACGTCATTCAAGTACAATCCCCACCTAGAAAATTTTCACTAAAGAATTTCATATCCATAAAATGATTTACAACGGCAGTGAAGTAGAACAAGAATAAGAAGCCAGCATCGTAAATTCACGAAATATATATTCAAGTTAGTAATTTAACAATGGGGGTTGTTTTCATCATTCTCATGAATCGACCATATCATGTGAGGACAATGACAATCATTTGAGCATATCGTGTCCATTTTAACAATTTATTTGATAGTTTTTTGCTACATGCAAGCACTCCGCTTTCTTATGTCTATTTTTGGACATTTTTTATTTTTCATGGTAATCAAACCAATCAGACAGTTCATGTAAGTCTCATAAAAATTTATATTCTTGATGATCATCAACATCATCATCTTTTTATCGTGTGTTTTTCGGAAGTGTGCTATATGGTGTCAAAGGAAGTAAGGACAAGGTGTGTCTATTTGGATAGGCGCGTATTTTTCAAACCTTCAAATCCTTTGCATAATAAACTTCCGAATTTACAGTCATGCAGCTGCAGCAAAGGATGCAACCTATAGCTTGAAAAAAGAGCGAAACCAGAAGCTGGGTCCTAAGTTTATTCAGGACAACCTAGACAAGTCACAGAAACAATTTATTGCCTCCAAAGGATGTAGATCTGTTTTTGATTGTAAGGTTTGTTGTAAGGGTGGGACCAAAGTTGCGAAACAGGTCGCCTGTCACAAGGACAAGTAACAGATCTGTCACATATTTTGTATGGCACTGCCTGTTAACGGGTACGTGACAGGTGATTGCCTGTGACAGATCGTAACTCTGGTTGGACGATGATTTTTAAAAATGAAGGAATTCCTTATCAAATTAGTCTCCCTTTCTTGAAAATCAGCAAGTTTCCTCATCAGGATTCGAACCAAGCGATCGACAGTTTCCGCATCCTTGTTAAACATTCAAGCATTAAAGCGACACCACTGACCCACTTTATCTCACATAACCACAAATAACAACTCTATAATAAGCTTTAACTAAGATTTAACCTAAAAATGTCGTGACATCATCAATTCACTTTACCTTACTATACAACCTTTAAACTCATGAATCAGTACAATCTACAGTAAATATCAAGTTTCATGATGAACAACTTTTTACTTTGACTCTCAACATTTCAAATAAATTTGATGATCTAATGAGACAAACTTCAATCTGTAACAGCACACAGCATAATATCAATAGGAAGCAGTAGAATCAATTTGCTGTTGTAAATTTTTCATTCTATTCTCTTTTGTAACGCTCGTGTTACAAGTATCGAAAAAATTTATGACAACTTTGTATGAATATGAGATGTTGGAACATGAAATGTGTCACATAGTCTTATAATTTTCATAAGGACTTGATGACAAGAACTTATGTCGTTGAATGGAAGAGAGGAAGAAGACTTTCGACTGAGTATTTGTATGTAGCACATACACACATTTTAATTATTAGATTAATTTTCATAAATAGATCCAATTTGTTATATCAACACCACTTTCATGAGACATGAGAGGCAATGAGGGATGCAAAAAGAGTCTGAAGACAAATGTGGAAAGTCCGTGATATGAAAATGTTGAATGTTAAGTAATCACTCATATTTTCTTATCTTATTTCAATTCTGTTATTTCTGTTTGTGTCAATGTCTTTCTGTTTTCTGTTGTGTCTTGTGCTGGCAATTTCTTGTTCTCATTTTCTAAAATGATTTTAGCTTTTGGCCAATATATATAACAAGCTACTCCAGATGAGAGACGGGAGGACATGCTTAAATTGTTTTTATTTTTGGTTTTCAACTTAAAGGCTTTCTGAAGTTTTATCGGTGTTGTAGGATTCAAATTTTAATGGTTTTGTAAAATTCAAATTCTATCAATTTTGTGCAATTTCAATTTTAGCGGTTTTGTAGAATTTAAATTTTAGCGGTTTTGTAGAGAGATTCAGAATGACTGAATTAAGCACCCTTTTAAAAAAACAGCGCTTAATCCACAATCCCATCATCATCCCAATTAAATCCATACTTCCTTGTTATTTTTTGGCTCACACACAAAACATTTTTACGCACAAGGACGAAGCATCTTATTGCATATTTCCAGTTAAAATTTATGTCTCCCTCTCGAATGCTCACATTCTTAGTTAAGGACGTCCAATTTTTATTATTTCCTTTGTTTGTCTTTCATTGAACTGAATTACTCAGATTTAACTCATTCATATTGATTAATGCAAAACTGCATGATGATTGTGATGGCAATGATGATAATGTTAGCTTTTACTTCATAAAAATGAAGTCAAGTGGATGAATTGAGTGCTTAAAATGAGCATAAACATTTATAGATTTTATCATTTTTTGAAGAATTTCTTCGGTATTAAAAACTTTTGGTGCAGCAAATTGTTCTGTCTGCACTTCAAGGAGAATTTTTATTTTTGATAGCAAGAAAAACTCGTAAAAATGTTAAATGTTTTAAAGCTGTTAATAAGGATGATGTTTTATGGGAGTTGGGCCATGTGTAGGCAAATCTGCTGATGATAGGAGTCCAACATTCGAGTTCTAATGGTTAAGATAGACTAATCTGTCACGACGTGGCTTCGAATCCCATCAGAAGACATTATTTTCATTTTTTGTTATTAGATTCGACTTGGAAATAATTTAAGTATTGATCCAGTTCCTTAGGCACAAACAGAGTAAATCTCAAAAATCCACCTTTAGCCCACTCGCCCCCTCCCAACCCCACCTAAAGATTTGATAATCCCATCCATTAATTATCATCGTTGTAACTTTTTTATGATAAGAACATACTGGGGGTCCTCGATTTGAGTAGTTGTTTTGTTCCAAAAAATTTCTACTCAAATCGAATCTATTCAAATCGAGGCAAAGAATCCATACAAAATCACATGTTTTGTTCCAGAGTCCAAAAAATGTATCAAAACAATGAAAATTTTGATCATTTTTTGCACATTTTACCTCGTTTCTTAGCTTTACCTATGTGTTTTAGATAACTTAATTTATTTCAAGGCATATTCATATTGTTTTTAAACAGAAATTCACAAAAAATATGTTTTTGAAACAAAACAAAAATATGAGAACCTTGCAAATGTTAATTCACTGAACAATTTGTAAGGTTTTTGAATTTGAACTTTTTAAAACCGTTAATTTTATATCAATTTTTTAAATTTTTACTTTAATTTTGTAACTTTAGTATTGATTTTTCGATCAACATGATAAGTTCACGCTTATTGCAGAATAATTTATGTTTTAAAAATATTTTCTGAAATGTTTTTATCAAAAATATTTGTTTTGTAAACAATTCAAATCGAAGAAATCTACTCAAATCGAATATTTTGGTGAGTAAAAAATTTTCTGTTCAAATCGAATCTACTCAAATAGAATCTACTCAAATCGAGGACCCCCAGTACTTATAAAAGGCTATACTTATTGTAGTATGCATGCATATTTATGATCAGAAAATTCCACTGAAATAAATTAGCAGTATAAGTTCTTCATAACAAGAAAAAAAAATAATATTCCAAGGAAATTCCAACTTTATTTATAGAATTGATTAAGGAACTCAAATTCGCAAAGATTAATTAATTTATTTTGAACTTTCGAGGTTGTTTTCGTCAACTTAAATTAAGGAGCCATTCAATAATTACGTAATGCTTTTAGGGGGCAGGGGGAGTCTGAGATTTTGTGATTAAGAGATTTTTAATCGAAAATATGTGATCAATTGTGGGGGATTTATAGAGTCTCTGATACACGACTCATTAAGGAAAGGCTCTGAAAAATTACATTTTGAACTGACGTCATACATGAACGACCCATAAGTGAACTTATTTTTGTTTGAAAAATTGTTTAACAGCTCAAAAGAGAACGCTTCAAGTTAGTAATTGCATTAGAGCAACAGATTTTTGCACTCACCGTGCATTTAGCAGCTGCAGAGGCTAATTCAAATGGGTTTCAGGTAAAAAAAAAGAAAAAGCTCATAATCAAATAATCAAGCTTTTGAATTAAGATCTTTTTCAATCCACTGAATTGTGAGCGAAGTTAAAGGTAATTTGAGATAGTGAGTCGGTTGAAGTTTTTTGTATGGACGACTTACAAGGGGGGGGGGGGGGGCAAGTTGATCCGTTAATATTAAATTTTGAAAAGGGGTGAGAATTGAGCAAAAACTCAAAATAATTAATGAAAATATCCATCGATGACTGTTTGAACCACCCTCTCCGTCCTATAATCAACTTCGGATGTTAAGTTTTAAACTTCAGTTGTATATATCTCAACATACTAACTCCTAGATTATCCCCCCCCCCCCCCCCCCACATTACCATTCCCTTGTCTGTTCCTTTGTGTTAGAGGTATTCTTAGATACCTTACGAAGAAATCTCATCGAAAGAATATTTGATTCGTATGTGTTGTTTGAACAGAAAAGTTAAATTCAGCTTTGAATCCAACAACTTGAAAAGCTCTTAAAAGCTCAAAAATTCCTCAATAAAAATTCAAATTCCAAACAACCGTTAATTCTGCCACACACAAAACTATCTAAAGTGCAATAATCAACAGTTCCGAGAAACGGGGGTAAGACAATGTCATCAACACACAGCGACACCTACTTCTGAAATCCTCAAAGCACTAAAAAATAAAAATATTCGAAAAGAGTAGTAATTTTTTGTTCGAAGTGTCATGAAGTGAAAATATTTTCATAAGAAATCAAATCAAAAAAAAACTTTTAATTTTCTCGCTTAAGTGTCTTCTTAGTTCATACAATAAACATTGAAATTAAGCAATTAACGAGTGATTGCATACAAATAAATAGAAATAAATGTAAGATAATAATGGCATATGCGCCAACAAATGAGTCAACATCGACGGCAACAACTAGTGCAAATAGGTCAAATTTTACTAAGGAAGAAGTTGGATGTCGTGTAATTAGAAATGAAAAGGAATGGAAATGGGGAAAGCAGGTTAGTCGACACAATCGATTTCTTATCAATCGATTCCATAAGCTATAAATAATCTATTGATTGAGATTGAGAGTTAAAAAGGTCGTGAGAAAAAAAAGTAATCATGTACGAAGCAAGTTGAAATCTCCTCCATGTTTGATTTTTTTTCTCACTTCTACTGTATGTTGTGATGTCATAGAGATATACATACTTTCGAAGATACACAAAAAATTTATTTTTTAAAATTATCCAAAAATAATTAATTTTCTGCTTATTCAACCCAATAAAAAATAAAGGACGGCGGTGAAGGACATGTCGGAACCGTGAGAAATTTTGAATCATCCGAAGAAGTCGTCGTTGTATGGGACGGAGGAACTGCTGCAAACTATAGGTAACAAAATGAAATTTGATACTTTTTAAGTTATTTCCTTTTACATCTTTTTTCATTCATTCCTTCTTTATTCGACTGTTCTTTAACAGATGCGCTGGATCATATGATTTACGTATTTTGGATAGTGCACCGACTGGAATTAAGCATGATGGAACAATGTGTGATACATGTAGGCAACAACCAATTTATGGAATACGTTGGAAATGTGCCGAGTGCAATAATTATGATTTATGCTCAATCTGCTATCATTCTGATAAGCATCATTTGCGTCATCGATTTTATCGAATCACGTAAGGATGGATTAGTGTCTATTATGTCTCAATGCATTGTGGAATATTGAAAGAATTTTGTTTAAAAAAAATAATTTCGTGGTTTGTTGCCAGGTTGAAGAGTTTACGTGACATAATTGGTGCTGTTTTTTTTTGGTGTGTGTGCATTTTATCGATGTGAAAGGGGTTAGTGCCAAAAAAAAAGTGAAATGTGCGAAATTTCATGCAAGGTGAAATCATGTTTCGAAATCTTATGAGAATCTAGCTACACAAGTGCATATGCATGCACAACCCCTGCAATTTATAAGTTCTTGAACTTATTATTCTCAAAAAATGTCACGAAAAACGGCAAAGAAAGTTATATAAAAATTCGTGGCTATATAAAAAATGCTTACAACATTCCATAGTCTATATTTGTCGCATCGCTTTTGACAATAGTGACTCACATGCAGCAGTTTTAATGAATGTTAATTTTTTTTCTGCAGAATTCCTGGTGGTGACAGAGTTTTACTCGATCCTCGTCGTAAATCGAAGAAAATTGCAGGTATGAATAATGTTTTGTTTGTGGGATTATGGTGACTCAGTGTTAGTTAAGCAATTAAGTTTGGGATGGATAAGGTAGAATTTTTGAGAATTCTTAATGAACTTTCTTCTCTCTATATTCTAATTTGGCTGTTAAATAACCTTTTGTGGTATAATAAAATGAACTTTACTAGCTACTATATTACTAGCTTCTATCCTCATACCTACTATACTACTAGCTACTATAATACTAGCTACTATACTACTAGCTACTATACTAATAGCAACTATACTACTAGCTACTATAATACTAGCTACTATACTACTAGCTACTATAATACTAGTTACTATACTACTAGCTACTATACTACTAGCTACAATACTACTAGCAACTATACTACTACCTACTATAATACTAGCTACTATAATACTAGCTACTATACTACTAGCTACTATACTACTAGCAACTATACTACTACCTACTATAATACTAGCTACAATACTACTGGCTAATACATTACTAGCTACTACTATACTAGCTTCAACAAAGTCAGTAAACAACTTCATCTCATCATCAAAACTTTCAATAAAATAAAATCCAGTTCCAATTGACTCATACTAGTTGCATCTGAACGCAATTCCACGAGGAAATATTCATGATAAGGAAATGTTGTAAAACTTGAGTACTGTGCATGCAAAAAATCAATTATTATTGATCATGCATATACTATTTTTATGAGAATATTGACTTTGGTCTGACGAAACTGGTCATTGATTAGCAAATTGATATGATCTAGATAATTTGAGTGGTATTCTGTTAAGGGTGGGTTAGAAGCTTGATAAATGTTGGCTAGGGCTGGGTATTTAGTTCATTGGTATCCTATAAATTGATAATAAGCTAGCTCACATTATCAGAATCATTTAAACTGTAAAATTGATTTAAAGACTTGCTTTATATTAAGACAAACTCAGAAATACGATCAAATGAATGGTTTGGATATTACACTTGTTTCTTTTGCATAAAGAATAACATCCCGAACTATATTCACCATTCCTACTTTGCACAGCTATGCTTCAGTTCAAACTAATCTAATAAATTTCCCTTTCTTCTATTTTCTAGTCCGAGGAATCTTCCAAGGCGCCAGAGTCGTTCGAGGTGTCGACTGGCAGTGGGAGGATCAAGATGGAGGCAATGGACGTCGTGGAAAGGTTATAGAAATTCAAGATTGGGCAGCAACATCGCCAAGATCTGCAGCATATGTTTGTTGGGATAACGGTGCCAAAAACCTATATCGTGTTGGATATGAAGGCATGGCAGACCTAAAAGTTGTTAATGATGCAAAAGGTGCAACAGTTTATCGTGATCACTTGCCATTACTTGGTGAGAATAGTGCAACGAAGGGCCACAATGGCTTTCAAATAGGTGACAGTGTGATTGTTGAATTGGAATTAGAGGTTGTACAGTCATTCCAGCATGGACATGGTGGATGGACTGATGGCATGTTTGAGTGCCTTAATAATCCAGGACGTGTTGTTGGTATTGATGAGGATCATGATATTGTTGTCTCATATCCAAGTGGAAATAGATGGACATTCAATCCAGCTGTTCTTACGAAGATGGCATCAAATAGTACGGAAGATTCAGCAAGTCAATTTGCTGTCGGTGATTTTGTGAAAATTTGTAGTGATTTAGAGAGAATAAAGATATTGCAACGAGGACATGGTGAATGGGCAGAAGCGATGATTCCTACATTAGGAAAAGTGGGGAGAGTCCAACAAATTTATTATGATAAAGATCTTAAAGTAGAGGTAGGAAATACGTCATGGACTTATAATCCTTTAGCTGTTACGAAAGTTGCATCATCATCTGATGGATCAGTTTCGGCAGTTACTGCCAATGGTGAACGACTATCAGCAATTTTAAAGAAGCTCTTTGAGCCACAGGTCTCATCAAATATAACCGAGGAACTCGTTAAAGCAGCTGCTAATGGAGATGCTGCAAAATGTGAAATGTATTTGAATCCAACAGGTCAAATAACGCCACAACCTCAACAAAGTGATCAGGCATCAGCCACAACTCCATTAAGTGATCAAGACGCTAGTGCACCCTCAACATCGACTGGAACTCCGTCAGGCATCAATCAAGCGAATGTGAATGGTGTTTTTGCCGGACATACAAGTCTACAAGCCGCAAGTCAAAACGGTCATTTAGATGTGATCAAAGTGCTTCTTAAATACAGTGCTGACGTTGAGATTGAGGACAAAGATGGTGATAGAGCTGTTCATCATGCAGCATTTGGCGACGAGCCAGCTGTTATTCGTTTACTTGCACAATCCGGAGCGGATTTAAATGCACGAAATAAGAGAAGACAAACAGCACTTCATATTGCCGTTAATAAGGGTCATAATAATGTCGTGAAAACATTATTAGAGTTGAGATGTCATCCGAGTCTTCAAGATTCCGAAGGTGATACACCAATGCATGACGGTGAGTTTTTGCTTTGTTTAAAATCGTTTTCTACACAGTTTTTGCATAAGCAATTTAAAATGGAAAGTGAATAATTTATTCGTTGAGAATTAAATAATTTACTGACTGCGGAATAGCTTTATTTGATTCTTGCCACTTTTTTTAATCGAGAGGCATTTAGATATTTGAATAATTGAGTAGTTTTATGGGAATTATATGCAAAGTACTTTTCGAAGTGGACGAATTTTTTCAGGAGAATTTTTTGTGACTGTTAAAATTTTTGAAATTTAGAAAACAATTGAATTTTTAAGAAATCAATAAAATCATTTCAAGCTCTAAATCTACTCGGAAATTATGCAACAAATAGCTTTACACAAGACTGTGCACCGCCTTATCGCCCACGGCGACTTTATTCATCAATCTTGCTCGAGACTAATAATATGATTTTAATTGCCTTATACAGCTATATCTAAAGATAATGACATTTGTTTGACATACTTGTTGGAGTATGGAGCTGATGTGACACTGACTAACAATAACGGATTCAATGGTGAGTCATTTCTGTTTATTCAATTAAATTTTGACTAATCATCAATTTAAATCAACAGCAATACATCATGCTGCGCTGAAAGGAAATCCAACGGCAATGAAAATTCTTCTGTCAAAAATAAATCGTCCATGGATTGTGGAAGAAAAGAAAGATGATGGCTATACAGCACTACACCTAGCAGCTCTCAATAATCACGTAGACATTGCAGATCTCCTCATTAACATGGGCAAAGCTAATTTAGACAGACAGAATGTTAATTTACAGACAGCACTCCATTTGGCTGTTGAACGTCAGCATGTTCAAATAGTCAAATTGCTAGTTCGTAAGGGAGCTAATTTAAATATTCCTGATAAAGACGGTGATACACCGTTGCATGAAGGTAGATTAATGACTATTTAAAGCAATGAAGAAGTGATTTGACTGTGAATTTTGTTTATTTCAGCATTAAGACATCATACGCTTTCGCAGTTGAGGCAATTGCAGGATGTAGAGGGCTTTGGAAAGATCTTAATGGGACTGAGAAACGTAAGGACTTTAAGAATTTTTTAAATTTTAAATCTTTAAAGACCGTTAAAAATTTAAATTTTTCAAATCCGTTAAAAATTTGAATTTTTAAAAACCATTAATTATTCCAAAAATATTTCCAGAACACTGACAAAAAAGCATCTGCATCAATTGCCTGTTTCCTAGCTGCCAATGGAGCTGATTTGACAATAAAGAATAGAAAACTACAAACACCTTTAGACCTATGCCCGTGAGTATATCATTGCCATTTACCGAAAGACATAAATATATTCATAAATAACTGCATGTTCAACCTTAACTGTCTGCAGATCAAATGCTCTCACAATTATCATTAACGATAATTTTCTCATAATTGTGTTTCTTTCAGTGATCCAAACCTGTGTAAGATTCTCATAAAATGCTATAACGAAAAGCACACCGAAGACATCGAATCGACATCAATGGATGAGAAAAATCTCAGCAATGCAGTTAGCAATAATGAAAGTCAACAGAATCAGCCAACGAAAATTGAGGCGCCGGATATTAGTGCAGATGAATGTCTTCTATGCTCTGAGCAGAAGAGAGATACTGTATTTAAGCCTTGTGGACATGTGGTGTCGTGTGAAGCATGTGGATCTCGTATTAAGAAATGTCTGATTTGTAGGGAGACTGTGTCATCAAGGGAGAAGGTAAGAATGCATGTCTAGGACCTGATGAGGGTCAAATTAACAATCCAAATAATACACTCTCATTTTTATCCAAATTGCTAACAGATTTCCTCAAAAATCTTCCAGATTGACGAGTGTCTTGTATGTTCAGACCGAAAGGCATCAGTATTCTTCAAGCCTTGCGGTCATCTGGTTGCATGTGATCATTGTGCACCAATCATGAAGAAATGTGTTCAATGTCGTACATCGATCGAGCAAATGGTTCCATTCTCAGTGTGCTGTGGCTCAACAGGTACAATCGCTAAAGTCTTACACAATATCGATGACCATAAGAAAGATGCTAACATTCTACAAGGAACAAATCATAATGGACATAATATTAATATGAACAATTGCAGTGCAATCAATAATAAATTTATGCCAACACCTTCATCATCGTCGTCAGCACAATCAACTTATAATAATTTGAGTGGAACGAGTGGAATCCACAATAATAATTTGAATCTTAGTTCCAATAACAATAATAATACTAATAACAATAACAACACAAATAAGCCTGAACCACAGCCGCAACCGCAGCCCCAACAATCACAGCAACCTGATTACAATGTAAACTTATTCGATGACATGCAAAAATTGCAGCAACAACTTCAAGACATTAAGGAACAAACGATGTGTCCCGTATGCTTTGACAGAATCAAGAACATGGTCTTTCTTTGTGGCCATGGCGTTTGTCAATATTGTGGAGATCAAATCGAAGGATGTCCAATCTGTAGAAAAACTGTTGAGAAACGTATTTTGCTGTTCTAACGACCGCGTTAAGTTTAATTTTCAAGCAATTATATCAAAATGATTTGTTTGTTTCATGATCAAAAGGAATCAATGAGAAACTGTTGAGTTTCGTTGTCAATTTTTTTTTTGCTATTATTGAAGGGGGGGGTGTATGTTTTAAAAATTTGATTATTTAATGATCTAGATCTTTTTGCCATAACTATGAGAAGCAGTCGATAGCTCAGTGGTAGGATTACGGAATAGTAGATCGCAGAACTTGTGTTCGAATCCTATCCGAGATTTTTTAAATTAAATTGTCATTATTTGAAATATCATGTATGACACAGCCTTAATGAAACTAGTTCTATCAAAAAGCTAGTTTGACAACAATATAATCGAGAGATTGAAGCTAGTTGACTTAATGGTCAAGATAATATTCATATCTCCTAAAAACTTTACACCCCCACCCCATCAAGCTTATTATCTATTATAGACATTAAATAGTTATTTTAAGAACTCTTACTTTAGAAAAGGCAGGCAATCCATTTGAAATTCATTGTTTTCTTTTTGAAAAAAAAAATCGTATACACATCTCTTAGAATTGTAAGGACTTATGTGGCAAAGTATGCATTAAATTATGCAATCAAAAGAAAGATTGGAAATTTTATTTTTATATTTTTTCATTTTATTTTTTTTATTATTATTTTTTGAATTTGATCTTTTGGGCCATTTTAAAAATGGACATGTAGCTTTTTATGATGAGAAACGATTGAAATTTAAGCAAAGCACTCACGTATGATACACAAAGTAAATAAATGATTCTTCCACATTAACGAATAATAGGGTTAATTGAGAAATAAAACAAAAATGATGATTATTTTAAATCAAACTTGAATGCTGTTTTTTTTTTTACATCTTAATTTCAGCTATTAATCACTTTTGATGAGTGTGCGATGAGTGAGAAACTGTGTTTGTTAATGAAAGTTATTAGCTGCAAATTATGACTTGATCTGGGGTATGAGATATTACCGTTTCCTTTATGGAACTGTTTAAAAAGTGATGATGATATGTGATTAACGTCTAATTGAATTAATTTTGCGTTAAAGAGATTTAAAAATAATTTATTTATCTAACGCTATTAACTCTAATCTGACCTAGTCATTGAGTGACTAGACGAAATCTTAATAAAGTTGAGAAACAAATGGAGTCATATGTGTGTTATTGGATTAGAGTGGAAGCTTGGGTATCTAGCCATATATTGATGAATCTGCGAGAGCGATACTATAGCCTTTGTGACCGATTGATTAGGAAACAGACCAAGATATCTGTAACCATCTTTTGTGATGAAGTGAGTTCGATTCCTACAAGAAATCGATCTCTCGATCATTACATAGAGTGTTGACGATATGACAAGGATTCGAACATTGCTCATTAATCAATGTCGAGCTTAAGTTACAACAAAAGGTTTTCCATCTGAATCTGTTGCTGGCGTTTTCTTCTAGTTTGTACATATTCTCTGTCCGCAGATTAAGCTGACATTCTTTATCACTCTTCTGCGTCAAGTAGCTTTTGGAGCTCCTGAGCGTCTTTTCCCTTGCCAGATTCCAGTATCATGTAGGATCATGAATATCAAATAACTACCCACGTAACCAAAATCCCATAGATGGACGATACATGTATTACGCGATTTTATTCCATGTATAGTCCATGCGTATCATCCATGGATGATACATGGAACGATATTGTCCTATGCAGATGGATGATTTCATGGACGATTTTGGGACGTTCCATGTATAGTACATTGGGTAATACAAATGTACTACTTTTTTTTTTTATTGGATTGATGCACCTGAAAAAAATATTGCCTAAATTCGAGTTAATTAATTCATATTATTGTACATTCTTTACACTATTTACTTTATCAATTAAAAATTTACATAAATTATGCACATAAAACAAAAATTATACTACAAAAAACATAGCTGGATTTCTAAAAAGAGAGAATAAAAAAATGATTAAAATCCTGAAAATTAAAAAGTAATTAAAACTATAAAATGCTTACAATGCCTATAAAGAATAGAAGGAAAAGGGAATAATAATTAAATGATTTTAAAATGTCTAAATCATCTCAAATTTTTGTAAATTTTCAATATTAAAACCTCATTTTTTACTTACCTTAATCATAACTTTATGGCTTATTTCACATACTTTACCATTATTTTCGTCAATTTATCTCCATTTAAAACATTAAACCACTATTTAAATTAATTTTTCACGTCATATTAATTTTTCTAAAACACATTTCACAATATAAACAAACAAGAAAAAATATCAAAATGTTTTTAACTGTCCGAATGACCAGATTTTTAAAATATTACATAGATGTATTACACATGGTCTATACATGGAAGAACCATTTGTGTAGTACAAAAGTAATACACAATGTTGTATTTTGTGGAAATTACATAAATCTTCCATCGATGTCAATGGAAAATGTGTGGAATACTTTGGTTACGTGGGTATGATCCAACTGACACTTTGGTCCGTATCCAACTTTTCAGATATCAGGTCAGGAAACAACGACTTCTTAATAATGAGCAGCACAATGTAATCATCAGGATACACTATCATATTCAGTATCATGAAAGAATCGCGATTGAATATGGAAGATTCTTTGGCGGAAGAAAATGAAATTTTTAAGTCGAAATCTGTCAAGCTTACACCTTCCACATACGTCTAAGGCTTCCCCTACGTCATTCTCGTTTCTAGACCTAGACAGTCATCTTTATCTAAAAATCCAAAAATGTTGAATACACAAGCAAAAATCATAAGCCCAACAAAATTGTTTAAATTTATCCAAAATCTTTATTAGCACTTCCTTTAACTTTCATCTAAAAACATCTCCATATTTTCAATTCATTCCAAATTTCGTTGAAAATTTTCTGTTTTAGTACAAATTGCGATACTATGTAAATAAGTTTTATGAGTTTTATAATATTCTTTAGTGCACATTTAAGATTCCTATCAATAAACTTTATATCCCAATGCTAGCAAACAGAAATTTTTGAGTTCTTATTATTCGAACTTCGAATTTTTGAGGTTCTTATTTTTCGAAAATCGAATCTTCGAAGTTCTTATTTTTAAAAAAATTCGTTATAAATTATTATTTTTCGAGTAATTTGTAATTTTAGTGAACATTCCTACTAGTTTTTATAATTAAGATAATCACTGTGATGAAATTGCATTCCTTAAATGTTTATGCTTTAAAAAACAGATAGTTTAAAAATAATAAAAAGTAACGGACTTTCTTATTTTTGAAATTATAAAAAAATACCGTGCGAAAATTTTGAAATATTTTTTGTTTGTAACGGACTCTGTTCTCTTTGCTAACATTGGTTTATATCCTTCAATCCAAAATTGAATCGTCAATTGATAAGGAAGAGAGATTCCCATTTATGAGAGTATTCTATGAATAATTATTAATCTAAAAAAATACTTTTTCATCAGCATTAAAATCTAAAGTCATTAAAAGAGGACGGTATTGTTGTAAAAATATTAAGGTCACTTAAGTTAATCATCTTAAAATGTATCAAAAATTCTCATTATATGTATCCATGTAAGCCGCGTGAGTGCGATGATGGAAGTGATGCAGTTTCATGCATTTGCATCTGTTGGACGAGATTCTTTGATTCTCGACGTCTTTCGTAAGCATATCTTGCATCTTTATACAGAACCAATCCAGCAAGTCCCAAGAAGAACATTGCAACAACAGCAAAAGCATAAGACCATGATAAAACATTGAATTTTGGATACATCAACCAGTCACGACGATATGCATTAACTCCAAAGATTAAAACTCCAAAGAACAGGAATACTGATGAGACAGACACAGCGATGCATGAGAATGCTGTCAAGAACCATTCGTAACGTAAAACAGTCTTCAATGGATAACGAATGACTTCACATGCCATAACACCGAGTGCTGCAAATGTTGCAATGAATGCAAGTGTTACAAATAATTGGACAGCCATCAACCATCCAGGCAGAAGCCATTCACGAATCACATAATATTCCTAAAATTGAGAATGAAATTTGAGATTGCTTATTATGGCTGTTCAGTATTATTTTACGGAATCATCAAAATAAGTTTGAAGCACTTAAAGGTTCAAATGCTTAACTTTCGGTATGCGTAATAAATTTGGAATGTTTTGACGAGCTAGTTCCATGACTCAAATTTTTAATAATTTTGGTGATTAGCTTACATGACTGAATATATTATGGCATCCATTGAACAATCTCGGGAACTGATAGTACGGGTACATAAAGTCTTTGAAGCAGTATTCCCACAATCCCATATTTTTGAAGTTACTGAAAGATTCCTCATAACTTTCAATCCAGTATGGTGAACTAAAGGACATCAAAAGGAATAATCCTCCAAGGTATGAGATTAAGGCACCAGCAACAAGAGCATCTGAAATTTAAAAATTAAATTTATATCTCATCCTAGGGTGTGTCAAATGGCAATTAATAATCCGTTGATTTTTAACATTAATTCACAATTTCACTAGCTGCGATTACTTACTTGATGCTTTTGGATACTCATTCTTTTCAATGCTCTGTGACATGATGAGAAATTTTAATTAATTAATGGAGAATTTTTATAAAAACATTTAATGAGATTCACGCAGTTATGAAAACAAAACTTTTTCGATTCCGTTCGACAGTGATAGAGATTGAATATTATGGGTTGGGTGATTTTAAGCGGAATTTTTATTGATGGAATTGGAGTCGATGAAGTTGGTTTTAGATTTTGAAATGGTTTTTGGTTTATAAATTGTGAATTTTGATATCACATTAATAAATTAAGAATCGATGAGTTGAATTTGGTTCAAAATGAGTGGATTGGTTAGATGAACTACGAAATTTAAGATGTAAATTTGAATTATTCAGCATTCTTATCTGTTACAGGATTCTAAACTCTTCTCTCCTTTCAAAATTAACTGAATGCCCACAACTTAGTAGACAATTCAGTTTGAAGATCAAAACTTATTCAAAGCTTAATAACTTTCTCAGAATAAATTCCTCAATAAACCATTCCATCTTTTTTGCGCATACTATTAACAAGTATTCATATCTTCGCCACTTGACTACCAGATGTCGCTCAACAAAACTCAAGAGAACTTTATCTTCATATTTTTTTTTATTTACAAACGATCAACATAACAAATAAATCTTAAAAATAAACTAATGTGCAGTCTTCACGTGATGATCGTACAAGTTCCTGTCCGTAAATACTTTTGAACATGATTTGTCATTACATCTTAAGAATCCGTTAACTAGATATGATAAGCGAGGCTTCTTTGCTTCTTGTTCTGGCTCTGATTTGATCTTTGCTCCTACTCCAGCGCAAGGATGCTTCTTCAACCAACTGGATCTTGAAAATCGTTTTTGGCATCGAGCACATCGAAAACGGAATGATGGATCGTTTGTTGGCTTTTTCATTTTCTTTAATGTGTTGTTTTTTCTTGGTTCCATTTCTTGAAGTAAGTCTTCCTCGTAAAGATCATCATTATCTCTTAATGCTCTTGTTTCTGGCAATAAAAGTTCTTCTAAACTATCTGGAGATGAACTAATTGAGTCTTCATGTCCACCACCTTTTTCAAAGTCTTCATAATGCTCATTTGTCATGTGCTCAGCTACCTTGCTTCTTAATTTTGATGAATATTTACAAAAGCAGCATTGGAAGTAACCTACTGTCTCTAAATTACTAATTGAAGATATAAAACCATCTTCATTTTTATACCTAAGATGCGCTGCATGGAGATGTTTCGTCAATTGAAGCTTCTTATTAAATGGAACATTACACTTGTAACATTTATAGACCTTGGATAAGTGCATGTTAGTCATATGACGATTCAAGAATGTCCTCTCTTTAAAGTTCGTCGAACACATCTTACAGGTGAAATCACTCTTCAAATTGGAATCAAATCTCTGATATTTGATCTTGTGTTCATTTTCTGGACTCTTTGCAACTGAATTATTTGATATTGATGAGAATGATGAAGCTGATGATAGTGATCGCTTTCGATCCAGAGATTGAGTAGGTTTATTGTTGTTAGCATTTCCGTCAATATCATAAACTCTGAGGTTTTGGGAAGTTGAAGAGCTTGAACATGGATGAGTCCTCTCTATATGAGCAAGCTGTTGGGAATGATGGAAAATGAGGTTAGTTTTTGATGGTACACTAAAATTTGAGGTTACCTTTTGGAAGTAGGGAAGTAAGGTTCAAATGACATATCTATAAAAACTTACCAAACTTTCCTCAGTCCCACAAAGTGCGGAACACTGCAAACATTTAAATTCTCGGGCAGATTTCTTTGGAGTTGGAGTTGAAAATATCTGATTATCTTCACCCAATATAAACTCAACATTTCCATCAATATGAAGCTCTGAATCAGAATCAGACGATTCGTCATCATTGAAAAAATGACACTTTGATACATGCTCATCCAGTAGTTCCCTCTTTAGAAACTTTTGATTACAAAAATTACATGACAATATTTTTATTGGTGTGATTTTCTTAAGTTCTTCTTGTTGTGGAACGACTTGTTCTGTCTTTTGTGGTGTGTCTACTACCTTTTCATCTTGTAATACCTTATCTTTTTTTCTAGTAACCCAATTAGATTTCTTAAAGATCTTTTCACAGCAAATTCGAAATTGTTTTGTAACCTTAACCTCACTTTTCTCAAGAAGCTTCTTATGTCTACTGTGTGGAATTACATACTTCGGAGATATCTGATTAAGGAATATTTCATCAATAACAAGCAATGTCTCAGTCACACAAACAGTTTTACTAATAAATTTCAAAACAGCACAAAGATTTGTTTTGGATAATAAAAATACAAATTTTCCCTTCAAATCACGAGAATTTTGTGTCTTCTTTATTGTCTTTAACTTGTATTGTCGATTAAATTTCCGTTCTTTCGCTTTCCAACGTCTAACAGCTTCTATTTTCATGATTTTTTCAATTAAAATTAATTTTATCTACTAATAACCTGAAAGGTTCTGTTTTGTTTACGTTCAAAGTTTTCTTCGGAGCAAAAAGAAAAAAAAAATAAAGTTTCACACCCCTCGCAGAAAAAATACAAAATAAAGTCAAAATTTCGTTAGATTTATTTCTTTTTTTATTATTATTTTTAAGATCAGTACTCTAATACAATTTACAATCGTAGTAATTCATTGTTATACTTAATGTATGAGTGTATATGCTATAAATATTAATTATTAACTTCCACGCAATTTTCATTCACATTTTCATCTCCATTTCCGTTTTCAGTTTCATTTTCATTAAATGCACCGCTATGTAGACTCTTTTGATGTCTAGTTAAATGGTATTTTCGTGAGAAATTCTTGTTACAAATGGTACATTTATGTTCCTTCAGTGATATACTTTTTGTTATTTTTGGCCCCAATGATGATGATGTCATTGGGTTATTCTCAAATCCAAAGAATCCAGTCGAGTTTTGGAGCATGTGAGGTGGTGGTGGAACAAACATTTGTCCATTTTCATGCAAAGAACTGTTCTGAATGTTGTAAGAATTATTTGGATTTAAATGATTTATTATCTCCATTTGACCAGCAATGTTATGAACATCCTCAACATGTCTTCGAAGGAATTCAGGACGTGAGAATCTCTTCGAACAAATCTGACAATTAAAGCTTTGCATCTCAGGCGAATAAGACTCAAATGCTGAAGTCGGTGACGTTGGGGAATTATGTAAACTATTCATATGTCGTGTAAGATGATCCTTCTTTGAAAATGACTTGTTGCACAACTGACAAACTGGACGTTTCTTGCCATCAACCATCACATAAGTTGTTCCTTGTGCTAAATTTTTCCGAAGTGGATCGTCCACGCTATGAATGTATTCGCTAAAATCACTGTGGTGCTTGTTCTCAATGTGCGCTCGCAGATGACCACTGCTTGAAAATATAGCTTTACACTCTTGACATATAAAGCGTTGAGAAAGGTCAGATAAGGATGATGCGGCAACTTAAATAGAGAAGAAAATATATTACTTTTAATATGACGTATCAGATGGGGGGGGGGGGGGGGGGTATATGGGTGTGTGTGTGTGTGTGTGGATCAAGAGTCAATAGAGCAGTGTTGTCAAAACTTTTTGAGCCACGGCAAACTTTAAGGACCAAAGCCACACACAACGTGCGACTTGCGTTATTGTGTCGCGGCACATAGTTTGGACAACACTGTTATAGAGCATAGTTTGAGAACTAGTGAAACTAAGGTCAATCCTTACTGGACTACTAGGTAGATTTATAGAATATCTTTTGTGGATTGAACCAGAGTATCCTAAAGTTTCTGTCGAAAGAACTTAGCTACACATGGAATACAGCCTTTCCAAGTTACAAATTAAAACTAATCCACTGCTAAACATGTCAATAAGACAAACTAGACTGGTAGAGTTAGATCAACACATTCTCAAGTTCAATTCTCAAACAGAAACAATCCTAATACCACAAAACATTCATTAGCATAATAACATAGGATAATCAGCATCTACCCACCTTCTTCACTATGTACACGCTGTTGATGTCTTCGTAGATGATCGTTCCTTGTAAAATCCTATTAATAAATAAATCAAAAAACTCATTCATGCATAAATATTACGAGACAATTTAATTTCCATACCTTTGAACAGAAAGTGCAATGATAAGGTTTAAGTTTACTGTGTACTAAGGAGTGTCTCGTTAAATGATCGCGACGATTGAATGAGTATGCACACTGTGAACATTTATATGGCTTTGTGCTATCAATATCTTTTTTAGACTTTTTTGGCGAGCTTGACGATGATGCTGTTGTCTCAACACTACTTTGTCTAAACTCCGGTTCCTGCTTATATTTCATTTCCGTATTGTTCGAATAATTTGGATACGGCGAATGATGATGACTGTTGTTAACATCAGCATTTTCTGATGCTCCCATTAGATTTTGATTTATGTGTAATCCTGGGTGGTCCGGTTCAGTGTGAATTATTTGTGGCGTTATCATCTCCTCTGGCGACCAAAAAGAGACTCGCTTTTGCTAAAGGATAATGAAAAACAGCAGGTGGGAAAAATTTTTGTGGATTTTTTTCTCTCATTTTTTTCATCACGAAATGAAAATATTGATTTTTTACCTTCTTTTCTGGATTTGCCGGGACTTGTTGTTGATTTTGATGATCCATCGTGGCTTAAATGTGTTAATTTAATATCATAAACTATTAAAAATGCTGTTTTAATAGAAATTACATTAAAAATTTCGATTATGGAAAGAAATTTTTTTTAGTCAATAAAAAGAGAGACGAAATATTCGGAGATGTCTACGTTGTGGTTGTGATGATTCCTCATATTTTCAAATGTAGGGGTCGCTGGGTGTATTTTATCACTTAATGTGGACATACTCGATTGACACTTTTGGATTGTTGAGATATATAATGGGCTTTTTTAAAAATGTTAATGACAATATAAGGGGGGGGGGGGGTCGGTAATGAGTTTTAATCATGGTTTATAGCAAGGAAGAGGTTACGACTTTAGAAATCTCAGTTTTTCTGAAGATTCTGACAGTTCAAGAGCCCTACAATTATTCTTAGTTCTAATTTTTGTTCGTAGAAATCGTTTTTAAATGAACAGAATTTTTTTGGAAGGGGTAACTGTGGCACACATACTTTTCCTGCGTTTCTGACACTTGTGACAGAATTGAGCTCAATTTTTGATTTATTTCATATTTCATACGAGAATCCAAAATTGTCATACTAAATTCTCGTGGGAATTGAACCCATGTCTTTACGAAAAGTCTGTTTTCTATCCACTCAACCACATAAGCCACACTATCCTTACTGACTTATTCTACTATTAATGATTCAATATCTTAAAGTGACAGAAACAGTATTGCATTTGGAATGGGTAATTGGCAAACGGTAGCCAGCGATAGATATCTTAGATTCCACATATCAGCTTAAAGAACCATCAACATCTTCGGATTTTCAAATATCTTTATTTCAATCATTTAAAAAAGTTTTACTTCTATAAAAACAAACAAATAAAAAACATTCAATTGCATGTCATATTTACAACATGAAAAAACAGGACGGAATGCTTAATAGTACCTAAAATTTCTTCTGAGGACGGATTTATACTTTATATCTTAATTCTAATCTATAATTAATTGGTTAGAAAAAAATGGAGACAGCAAACTTTTGGACATTTGACTTATTTCACTAAAAATGAACCTTAATATTAAATCAAGGATGTAGAACTTATCAAAAATGAATAAGCTCAGCATCATTGTATTAAACTTGAAATTTTATGCAGCGCTTTTGAGCGATTAGTACAAAAAAGAATTCAGATCATATTTCTGTAATTTTTAAGATTCGATACTATATCTTTCGTCTATGACTACAATATTATGTCTTCGTTTCGTGCTCCATCTCAAATCGAAGCTGAGATTCTTTAAATTGTCTCAATCGTCTTTCTTGTGCGTGATGTTCTGTGAAGAAGAGTGACGAGCATACAAGGGCAGCAACAGAACCAATTGCTGCTAGTATAAAAGACCATCCAAACCAATTATTTGCATAGCCTGGCATCCATTTATCTCGATTACCAAAGCATGCAAAGATGATTACTCCTAAACTAGCGCAGGTTCCAGTTGCAAGGAGGAGGAAGGCTGTGATCTAAAATTTAAAATGTTCAATTAGTTTAGAAGTTTAAGAAAATTAAAAACAGTTACTTTGAGCATCAACAGGAAGTATTTCTGATCAGGTCCACCACACAAGAAGTATAAAAGTACGAGAATCAGTGATCCAAAGACTCCAATAAAGGCAAGTGTGAAAAAGAATTGAGTAAAAATCATGAATGCTGGAAGAAAATAAAGAAAATCAGCTACAATCACAAAATAAAGCAACAAATCATATACCAGGCATTAAAAATCCTCGAATCTCATCATAACCTGTCGTAAATGGATCATAAACCCATCGACATCCAACAAAGAATCTTCTCTGATAATCATCATTCACATCTGGTAACGATCGGAAGCAGTGAACCCATAAACCAAGTCGATCTAATTTGGCACCAGTTATACGGTAATCACTAACGAGCCAACTTGGTGTGGAAAATGCCACAACGATGCAAACGAATGCAATTGCGAAAACTGCAACACCGCAGTTCCCAGCCAATGTTCGGCGCTTCATATCCTCCCTGAATGGAATTAGAATGAAAATAAAAAGGGGGAGAATGAATTGTTTGCATTAGTTTTACATTGTTGTCGTGAATTATTTGCATTTATATGGAAGTGGAATTCGTTTTGGTTCATTGATTGCGCATTTTTTGCAAGGAAATTGAGATATCTGGTAGAAGTTTGACTACTGTATGGGAAATTTGATATTTGCTGTAGGATTCTATGAAAGCTAGTAGATACTATTGCTGTTGTAAGGTTTCTTGGAATGAATAAGGTAAGGAAGGGTAAGGAGGAATAGTTTGAAATCTCACAATAGCAAGACATTGATGTTATATGGTTCTAGAATTCAAATCTCAAATGTTTATTACTCGTCGAAACCTTTTAAATTTCCGACGACTTTTTAAAACCATACAAATGTTAATACATTTAGACTGTTGAAGAGTTTCAAAAATTCAAATTATTTTCAGACGTTATTCAATAATTGTAGTTTAAAACTTGCAAAAGATGCGCCAATCAAGTCTCCAACTCAATCCAAACTATTTACAGTAACAGGAAGGTGTGAAAAAGAATTTTCTAATTACAATTTAATACTTTTCAATACCACGAAATGCAACAAGTTGTGCAAAATAAAAAGACTAATGCAAAAATACTTTTTTCCCCTATTTTACAAAAAAGTTCTGACTGAATAGGCACTTGTGCATGGCATTAAAGGAAGAGGGTTGTTGAAGATAAAAACTTTTTTAAAAATTATTTTAAATTGTTCTTTTTTTGCACATAACAAGAATGTACCTGTCTAAATTATTAATTTAATGGCATACAGCACAGGTAGACTTATCATTTGTAATAATGTCATTGGAAGGGACTGAATGTATAAATTAAATTATGATTTAATAACTTTACCACAAAAATTGCCTACGAAATCATTTTAGCATTGAACTATGTAGGAAATATGACAAATGTTGCTATTTACACATTAGCACAATGGATAGATATTGTGCAATAATGGAAGTGCATTAGAATGAAACAATTGCGGTGCATTGAAAAGATAAGAAGTGCAAAACTGAAGAATTTTTTTGTTTCTCGTATTTATTCAGCACATGTTTGATTTGATTTTCATGGAAAATGTAAAGTCATTAATTGTGGGAAAGTTGTAGATCGACACACAAAAGACTCTTTTTTTTTTTGTGAATTGTAGGAAAAATCATTGTTTTGATTGTTTTAAAGGCTGAATTCAATGAAAATTCACTCGATTAGTTTTGGATTTTCAACATATGTTGACTTGATTTAATTAGGAACTAGTTATTGGTGTCATAGCTAGTGTTTTTGACTTGATGATTGTTTGGAAATTGACATAGTTTAATCTTAGATTAATCCTCAAAGATCTAGATCTGAGTTTTATTTTCTTTATATAATCAAGTACAGATCTAGCGATTAATGAAGATTATACCTGATTTGTGAAAGAAACGATCGACTTAGTTATCAAGATGAAATCTAAGTCAATGTAATAAAATCAAGAAGTTTAAATGCTTAGATAATCCATAAAATGTGTTTAGATGTCTAAACATTGATCCTAATCTACAGAAGCTAGATCTGTGCATGATAATATAAGAAATATCAATCTCAAACCAAGATATTTCTTAGATTAGCTTGAGATTAAGCTAGAACATTGTGATTCCATCTGAGTTTGATCAGACATCAGACTTTAACAACACAGGTCAGAACATTGACATTCGAGTAGTTTTTTGATTCTAGACTATTAAATTTCACTTAAAAATAGCTCAACAAAGACTTTTTAAAACTTCTAGAAAGCATCAAGTTCCATCCAAAAACGGAAGGAATCGTCAATTCAACTCACAAACTTCATTCAAGTCACGATTTTGTAGCAACTTTAATTTTTTACAAATTTCTCGCGAATCAAAACAAAAAATTCATAAAAGCATGAAAATCATTATCCAATACAGCCAAAATACAGAAATTCCATGTGAGATCCACAAATATAAAACACAAAAACGCACACAATCTTAATTTATCGGGCGTTTTCTCTTCATTAAGACTCTGCATTTCTATAAAATTTCGATATTCAAAAAGTTTATAAAAATGCGAGAATTTCAATCAATTTTATCACATTAATGTTTAGTCTTTATGGCACTTGATGTATGTTAGTATACTGTTGGCATATTCAGCTATAATAATCCAACTTGATTTGTCACTAAAATCTTTTTTGCACGACATAAAAATGAATTATTAGTAATTTTAAACATGGCGTTTACGTACATTATGAACTTTTCTTTTTTTGGTCAAAATAAGGCACAAAAATCACACAAAACTGATAGAAAGCAGTACAAAAAGTTATTTAAATCCTCTACCAACTATATCAAATGAACACTAAGCAATAACTAATGTCGCTATCTTACAAATTCTTGACGCGCCCTGAGAGCAAATCTGAATTTTGTTGCATGTTGTTACTTCTTATGATCACTATATATGAGTAGAAGTAGAATAAAATAAAAGTTAAGAGAAGAATGAAAAAGTTTTTTTTTTATTGTTGTGTGTGCGTCGTAGTTAAGTAAATCAATAAAACTGTGAGCGCTACGAACAAATTTTATAGACGAGATAATGAGAATCGCATTGTATGAAAATGTGAGTTGAGTGTGAGAGCGCGAGGTGTGTATGATGATTTAAAGAAGCTTTTGGTACTTGAAAAACGAAAGATTTCAATGACTTGCTCTGATTTTAGGATGTGAGCCTCAAATCTCAACTTAGAACCTTAATTACCAATAAATATCCTCAAATTTCATACAAAAATTCATAAAACTCTTCAATCATAAGTAGCCGTTGGTCAGTCAAGAGAGAACTAAAGCCTAAAAGAGAATGAGCACAACACTCACACATCCATACAAACACTTGTTATGATTCACTTCTTTTTATGTTAAACAATTTTTTTTATTCTCTTTAAAATTATTGTAAACATTCTAAAATACTCATTATGCAAATAAAATTTTCGTACCCAAAATATTTGAGTACAGGACGGAATTATAAAGTACTTAAAAATATATATTTTTGATATATTCAATCAAAGAGATTTTTTTCGTTTTCTTTTAAGATTCTAAGTGTTGCAAAGGCGTTGAGTTTGATGACAGAGTCGGGAGTTGATGAATCAAGTTACGTCTAAGTTCAAGTGATCATTTAGGTTTACTTAACATAAAGATCCAATATCGTTCAAATCTTATTAGATTAAGATGACTCATTATAAATCCATTGTATACAACTGGATGATTTGTTAAGCTGCTGTCTAGACTAGACCAAGAAAGAATCAAAGAATTCAAGTCCAGAGAAATCATCAAGATGAAACTTTGGGAATTTCTTATGATTGATATTGTTTAGTTCAAGAGATGTTCTGTTTTGAATTGAAGTGATCTTTAAAGATTAAGTCTGTTACAATTACTGTAGCTTAACTATCTGGATATGATTATTGTTTTCTTTTTAGCAAGTTCAAATGGAATTTCATTCATTCAGACTCTTATTTTCTTTCATTAATCTTCTGTCTGCTCGTTAATTAAACTTCCGCATGTATCATAATTGAGCTTAATTGATCACTTTTGTTTTCCAAACTCTGTCTTCTAAAGATTATTGCAAAAAGGCACTTTATATTATCATTCAATTTTTTTTGTGCAACTACAGATCTAATTTATCCTTAATGTTAGCTTAAATGTCAGTATGTCCCCTCTGTCTCATCGTGTAAGCTGCTTCTCTATTTCCAATCTCGTTCAATCTTTTGTATTTTAATCGTCTTGCTTCTACAATAAACAATATGCCAGCTGGGAATAACATGACTGATCCTGGACATGCCAATGCAAAAGACCATCCCATATGATTGTGTTCCCAGTTTGGCATCCAATCTCGAGAATCTCCATAGCATCCAAATAAGATAACTGCGAAAGTTGAACAAAATCCAGCTAGAATCAGACAACTTCCGTTTGTTATGAGTAAATGGATGTAACGTTCATGATCCTTTGAACAAACAAGGAACAAAAGTGTCATCAAAATTGCGATTATTAAGAGTGTGAATCCTAAAGTGAAGAAGAACTGGATTGTAACGAAGAATGATGGTAGGACGTAGTCATGAATTATATAGTATTCCTCCTCAAAAATCCACATGCAGCCATCGAAGATTGTATCATAAAATCGATGAACATCGCGGAAGTTCTGGAAACATAATTCCCAAAGTCCTAAAATTGAGGATTAATGAGATTTTAAAAAAAATCTACAACCACACCCGAAAACTAAACTTACCAAGATTTAAAAACTTTGGTTCCTTCAAAACTCCATCGTTTACGAGCCAATAAGGCGTTGAGAATGCAATAACAATAAAGACAAATGCACCAAATGTGAATCCAACAGCATATTTTGCAGTTTTCGTTCGAGCTCCCATGTTAAAATTATTAAAATAATATTAAGAGTTTCAGTTTGACTTAATGTTCTAAAGATCTAATATTAGGTACTAAAACAGGTTGTCATCATATCTGGCAACATTACGATTCTTAGTACACAACAGTAAATAGAGAAATTTCAATAGTTCGGAACCTTTAACTTCAATTTTTTTTGGTGAATTTAAATTTTGTGCACTCAATTAAAAATCAAAAATGTCATCAGAAACGGAAAAGAAAGTCCAAAAATCCCGTGGACCTTCTCAACTAGCTAAATTCTATCTGATCTTGTACAATGCTGTGCAGGTTGCAGGGTAAAGTGTTAATTATGATTATTGCCTCCTTTAAGTCTTGAATAAATTAGTGATGAACTTTGGAATTGTCAAATGTTCCTTGACTTTATGTAATGGTTATTGTAACTTTTATGTCAATTCCTGCTATGTCATCAAGTTCCAAAAATCAAGCCACAACATCATCCAATCTTTGACGTCATTAATAATTTTCTTTTTAATATTCTTCAGGTGGTCATTTATGCTGTTTCAGCTAATCTCATACTACACAATCGATAAAGCTGTCCAATCAAAAATGACTCTATGGGAATACATTAGCTGGACAGTCATTGTGTTCCAAAATGCTGCTGTTTTGGAGGTAAATTTATTTTCTCGAAAAAAAAGTACTTTAATTATGTTCGGTGTGCTGTTCATGCTGATTAAAAAAAAGAAGATCCAAAAAAGAATTGCCGCCCGAGCAGGGACTTGAACCCTGGACCGTTGGATTAAAAGTCCAACGCTCTACCAACTGAGCTACCCGGGCATGATCACTAGTCTGGCAAAATTACATCCACAATCCCTGAGATCGATAACTTGTAATCCAATACTTACTTATTTTTATTCACAGATCCTTCACGTTGCTTTCGGAATTGTTAAGAGTAACTTGTTCATCACAACTGTTCAAGTTCTATCGCGTGTCATGGTTGTTTGCGGTGTTATTTTGGCTACTCCAACTGGAAGAGTTTCACCTGGCGTGCCACTAGCCTTACTTGCCTGGAGTGTCACTGAGATTATTCGTTATGGCTATTATGCATTTAATTTGATTGGAGCTGTTCCATACGTTATAGTTTATTTAAGGTAGGTCAAATATAATTGAATATTAAAGAACAATGTCAGTTATTCAAAGAAGAAAAAATAACAACAGAAAAACTTATAAAGCACACACAATTCTCTACCAACTGAACAACTTCACATTTATACAATTGTTGTTGTAAAAAGCACATGTCGATCTTCATCCACCGTTTCAAATAGTACATTTAGCCACAGATCATCACAAGCCCGGGTAGCTCAGTTGGTAGAGCGTTGGACTTTTAATCCAACGGTCCAGGGTTCAAGTCCCTGCTCGGGCGGCATACTTTTTGCTGCTTTTTTGACTGGAAAAACATTTATTTTGTTGGAATTTCTATGGTTACGAATTTGTCTGTAGAGCATTATTGGATGTGCTGATGATTATTTTGTGCTGTTCCATATTTCATTTTGTTCCGTTTGTTGTGGTTTGGATGTGAAGTTGAAGGTTCTGCTTTGGTTGAATGCATGTAAAGTTTAATAATTATTTTAATGACAACCAGAACAAAATTTTTTGATCAAATTTAAAGAAATTTTAACGATTCATTTGTTTACTTTCGATGCTCAACTTCCGGTAAAAACCATAAACTCATTCGACTTCTAGAAAAAAAAATTTCAGGAACATCCCACAGCCACAAAATCAATCCAGCATCAAAAAAAATAAATTCACAATTTTTCAATCAAAAAAGTAGCAAAAAGTTTTGCGCCCGAGCAGGGACTTGAACCCTGGACCGTTGGATTAAAAGTCCAACGCTCTACCAACTGAGCTACCCGGGCGGGTTAGATATTTTAACTTTCGTGACAAATGTCTCATTTGAGCCAATTCTAATTCCATTTACTTCTATTCTTTCAGATACACAACATTTATTGCTTTATATCCAATTGGAGTTACCGGTGAGCTGTTATGCTTCTATTGGGCACAAAGTCACATTCAGGAATCAAAGCAATGGAGCATTGAAATGCCAAATAAAATTAATTTTACATTCTCGTACTTCTACTTTATGTGGATGGTAATGCTTTCTTACATTCCATTATTCCCACAAATGTACTTGCACATGTTTGCACAGCGCAAGAAGATTATTGGCTCAGGAAGAAGTCATTAAGGATAATTAATTAAAATTCAGAATACTCAAGAAATTCTGATCGGTTGTGGATCTTCGAATTATTAGGTTTTGGGGATTAATACTTTACAGCAATAAAAAGTATGGATGGCTAAATTGTTTCTATAATAAAATTTCATTGTCCTGTTTTATTCTTATAAGAATCTTTTTCCTTTGTAACATGATTTAATAGAATATTGACATTTTCAGTCGTTCCTTGATAGTCGAAAATGCCAACGATGCTTACAGGTACTTTTTTGAGCAGCATATAGCCAAGCTTCCATCTTTTGATGCCGAATATGTATGGAGTTTTGTGTATAGCAGCTAGTTCCTTGATTTCAGCTACTAGTTTGTCTATTTCTGCATTCTTTTCGAGATCCGGTGCTATAAAAATTAGTTTTAAGCGCTCAACATTCAGGAACTTCTTGACTTCCTTGAACCCAACGACATATCTGCGATTTGCTTTCGCCTTGACTGAAATGGAATGAAATTGAGTACTTTATGCTGTAGCTGACTTTATTGAAGGTAGTTCTGTGGCTGATTTGAAGATCCAGCAATAACATGTAAGTTCAGATCTGTCAAAACTCTCAGAAGTGTCCAGCAACTTAATTGGAGACAGAATCATACATCTAGCATGCAAAACAAGCATCACACATCCCACAAACTTAAACTTACTTGGATTCTGCTGGAATTTGTTCTCCTGATACCGAAATAAGTCCTTAATCACAATCTCGCTATAATGCTTGATATCTTGAGTACAGAAATGATCGCAATAGTCTCGGAAGTTCCTTGAATGCTGCACAATTTGTTCATTATCTTGTTGATCACATTTGGTCACTTCCTTTTCTTCAATCTTCAATTCTTCTAGTTCCTCGACAATTTCGCTTATTTCTTCTGCTTGTTCCTCGTTCTGTAGCTTCTTTTTTATCCGTTCTTTGAGGATTTTCTTCTTTAAAGTTGATGCTTTCTTTCTTTTAAATTTTCCTTTTTTGACAGATTTCGATGAAATTTTCTTGACTATTGTTTTGTGTGTTTTTACATTTTTCTTCTTGATGACAACGAAATCTATTAAGTCATAACACTTTGTTGGCTTCTTTGACTTCTTATTCTTACTTATTTCTGATTTTTTAGGTACATTTTCTGACATTTTTTGATGAAATTGCGAAATTGCGATTTTTTTGTTTACAATTATTATTTTATTTCAACGAAATTTTTAAATTTGAATATTTTTGGATACCGAGTTGATAATATTTTCAAAATGTATAAAGCCGTTGAGAAACATTTTGTAATTAAAGTACAATTTAGAGAAGTTGATCGACATTAATTCATCTACAAATCAAGTAATAATAATCGAATAAAACATTAAAGGAGGAGAAACCTTTTAATTTCCTTAAAATTAAGATGGCAAATTTTTGTAAACAAACTTTTCGACAAGAAGAAATGTTTCGAGTAAATTTAATTAAATATCACATAAGATACTTAAGTAATGAAGCTAAACTAATCAAAGGAACATTAACGCTGAGATTCCACGACTACCTTACAAACAATCATGGTCAAGAAGAGCATCAAAAGTCGAAAATAATTGAAGATATTGAAAAAATTTCGGATCGAGGAAAAGGAAAAATAGAAAAATTGAAAATTATGGACAGAAGCTACATGAAAAGTCTACGGAATCAGCTCAGACATGAAGATATGATCGAGTGCTTAGAGTATTTAGTGAAAACATATCCAAATCAGATACTTAATTTAAGATTTTTTGATGAAGCTTTGAAAATTCTATTAGATGATGACAAAATATGCAGGAACAAGTTCACTAAGCTTGTCTACCTCATTGGATTCCTTAAAAAATATCAACCTGGTCCTAAATATCTAGAATATTTAATTGAAAATTATTTAGATGATAAGTTAAGCAGCAATAAGCTTAATCGAATGGATTTTGCCATTTTCTGTATCTCAACTTACAAATCCAGCGTTCGAGTTATTAACAAAAAGTTCCATGAACGACTTATAGCTGAAGTTCTAGCAACAAATGATAATGATACATACTTATTAGTGGCATTTATTAAAAGCTTAAAGCAAAACGAGATCGTGTCAAGTGAAGTTATTGACAAATTGAAGGACTTGATTGATATCTTTGAGTTTGACTATGCATCTCTCGTCCATATCCTGCCGTACATAGCTGACAATAGTATTAAAGATGATAGCTTAATTCAATTAATCTGTACAAAGTGTATTAATACCTTTGATGACAATGTAAGGGCAAAGGATGTCCAGAAGTTCCTACATTCATGTGCCATGCTGAATCTTAAGATGAACAAAACTGATCTCGAGAAACTTGAGACAATCATCATTAAAAGAACGACATGCGATGAATTTAAGACACATTTTGATCATTTTGTCAATGCAGCACTGTCTTTGTGGATCTTAAATCATCAATCTAATGAATTAATTAACATTTTATGGGAAGATTCACGATTTTACAAATCTGGACTAGAAAATAGATTCAAATTAGATTCCAGGAAGTTGTTGCTGCAAACTTGTGTGGAAATTGAGAGACCAAAGTGGATCAACAAGTCTAAAGTGACGTCATTCATGGAAACTCGAACATCTCCTGGATATTTAATTAAAGCTTCTTTAGAAAGAGCTATGAACACAGTTCTGGCTGATAAGAATGGAACTTTCGTTCATCAGATTAAGAATCTTAATATTGCTGGCATTTTAGTGTCTGATAATAAGGAGAAAATTCATTATGAGATCCTGGATGTTAATACAAGCTTGTCGGACCAAAAAACTGCAACTGGAATATTTCAACTTAAATTAAGGCTTTTAAAAAAATTGAAATGCAATGTTAAGGTGATACCGATATTTTAAATTGTGATGTCATCTGTTGTACAATAGCTACTGTAGCTTAAATTAAATAAATGATTGTTATTCGACTAATTTGTAAAGTTAAAAATTTCCAACGGTTTTTTTAAATTTGAATTCCGAAATTAACGGTCATTTTCAAAAAAGAACAATTGATTTCCAGGAATTTCTATTGTTCTTTTCTTGCTGACCCCCCCCCCCCTCCCTGTACGTCATAAGTGAACGGCCCCAGAGAGAACATTTTATTTTGTGTGCCAAAAGTTCTGTTCAAATTTCTCGCGACCGTTAAACTTTAAATCTAAAAATAAATTAATGAATGAAGACCGAGCATGTAAAGATTTCACTGGATTTATTTCATAAATTAATTAACAACATAAATAGTTTAATTTCTACTATTTGGATCTATTTGTAGATGAATGACTGATTCCTTACAATATGATTGATGATTCAATGTAACAATGTGCAAAAGTTATAAATTTTAATGCGTACCATACTTGCTTTAAGGACAACATGTCACAAATTGTTAAAATACTACTAAAATTTCAAATGATAAATGGACAATAAATTATCAATTCTATTTATGAGATCACAATGTCTTTAATTTCTCATAGACTAAGAAAAAGCACCAATTCCACGGACCCATTCTTAAGAAAGCTGGAATAAAACCTTTATAAAGTGCCATAATTCCTTCATTTCTCAAAATGCTACTGAAGCACTCGAATGAATTCGAAAAATATGCAGTTGAATGCGTTAAAGATGTTTGTCCATAAGATCTAAAAATTTTCCGCTGATTCATCAATCTAGTTCTTACAACATCAATTGGATTCGACGTGATAGCTGCAAGTAATGATGCAATAAAAGCCGAGATGAAATGATTCGCAGGCTGATCACCAATACGATCTAATAGCAAATGCTTTGACAAATCATAAACAGGAAGTTCAACTGCAGCAATTGTTGCTGCCCTCTGACTTGTTTGACTCACTCCTCTATATAATCCACGAATGCCTTCCGTATAGTATACTTCATAAAAACATCTATGCAATGGAATATTTTCAGTTCCTTTTCCGTGAATTTGCATCCTTACTTTAAGTACATCTGTTGGATTCGCCAGGGCAGATGATATTGCTCCTGACAAAGCAGCACAACTTATATTGATAAGCATATTTTCACTTCCAATTTTCTCGTCATTATAAACATTTGAGATTATGAACTGTTTCAGCGTGTAATACGTTCCAAATTTTAAAGTTCCATAAACTGATTGACGTAAAATTGCAGGCATAATTCCTGAATACAATGCCTTGACTCCTTCATGTCGGTAAATTTTTGTTCCACAATCGAAAAAGTTCTTATATTTGATATTTTTCTCCTGAACTTGTAATCGAGTCTTTGTTGTGTCTAAAGGAAATGTTGAAAATTCAGCAATTACACTTGCAACGCCTCCATACACAAAGAGTTCCATCTACAACAATAAATTAATTAAGATTAACTTATTTTTCCAACAATTTTCCTATTTTCTTAATATGAACTTCAGGATGATCTTTTTATCACATGTTTGGGCTTTTGAGTAATGCGCGTCTATATAGCACTTTGACTGACTAGTCTATAAAATTTTAAAATTTAGTATAAGGGGCCGTTTACTTATTGCGTTCGCATTTTAAGGGGGAGGGGGGGGGGGTTGAAAAATTGTAACAAAATGTACCATAGGGGGGGGGGGGTGTCAAGAAATCTTTTCAAACCAAAAACCATTTTTTTAAATTTTCCACCTTTTTAATGATTTATGAAAATTTATCAAAATAAAATAAATTATGAATGTTCAGGGGGGGGGGGGGGGTGGGTTGTGAGTTGTAACAAGGGGGGGGGGTGTGAAAATTTTTTGCGTTTTTTTGCGTAACGTAATAAGTGAACGGCGAACCAAGTTCGCTTCGACCTCTGCTTTTCTTATTTTGTCAATTTTTCTGTATGCGTGAAAGAAAGTAATTTTTAAAAATTAAAAAACCGTTAAATTTTTAAAATGCAAAACCTTGAAAGGGATCGTTCTATTATGCCATCCGAAATTAGAGGTCATTTTTCAAAAAAGAACAATGGATTTATTAAAAAGATATTAAATGCGCTTTGTTCACTGATTTATGATAGTTTTAAAAGTAAAATACGATCTCAGAGGGGAAAAGCACTGAAATTATAAAGCCTGTCCCTCTCATTTAAATTTTTCAAAAATAACGTGACTAAAACTTTTAACAGTTTTTAAAATTATTATGCTTAATGTTTGACTGCATCAATTGACAAAGTGAGGCACTTGATTTGAGGCAGGTGTACGACTCCCAATCAAATTAATATTGCAAGGTATTTTTCATCTAGTTTTGGCCAAAATTGATCAAATTACAATATAATGTTAATTACAAATCGAATTATTTCAGTGAAATGAATTAATTTTAAATTAGATTAAAACAAGTGTGATTTTTTTTTATTATTAGCAATTCGATTGCTGCTCACCGCGTGTAAATAGATCCAATTTTGAAGTTTTAGATTCAAATCCTATACAAAACCCCTCAAACTCTACATTCTCACAAGTCATTTAACAGATCCTGTGGATGAAAAAAAAGACACAAAAATTGAACGTGATGCTTTCCATGATTTGATTATCAATGAATACTTTTGAGAAGTGGGTTGGAATTGTATTCTTTTACGTACAAAATGTTTTTTGAAGTCGCTGAGCAATTTCTTTAGAATTAGATTTGATTTGCCAACTTGAGGATTTTCCTCATGTGAAAGGATTTTGGATTTTATGTCAAGTTCAATTTTTATTTAGTGATTAAGTTTGATGCTTTAAGGTTATTTTAGAAGCTAGATTCTGTTTTGTGCAACTTTTTAGAAATGAAAAACTTTCACGAAAATATAACAATCCAGAACAAAAATTATATAAGAAGATCATTCAACATATTATTATTATTATTATTATTATTTATTATTTATTTATTACTCGCAATAAATAAATAATAAATAATAATAACATAGCATTCAAGACTCAACAAAATCATCAGAATAAGAAGAGGAAATTGACAAACGTCAAAATCATATTGAAAGACAATTCATTTCATTTCATTAAATTTTCTATTGCTTTTGTTCGTATCACAGCAATGAGCTTTAGGCTTTGTCAAACCTGAGTCGAAATAATAAGAACGAAATTCATTTCTCGCAGTAAATTGTCCGAAAAAGCATCTTATTTCCATTTCTCATTCTTCTCACTGATCGCAAATGATTGATTAAAAAGGGGAAAAGAGAATGTCGAAGAATGAGAATAATGAGCACTTTGACATCTATTCAATGTTAATTTACCTCAACGAACTCAAGTGAAGTGGTAGTGAATCGGAATTAATGCTTTGATTCGCGCAACTAATTTATTTGATAAGATTTTCTCCTTGTCTGTTATTTCCTGTGAATTGAGCTCTCAAGCAGAACGTTTTATTTTGTTTCGTGATTTTTTCTGATACGACTGAGTTTTTTTGTGCCTCATTCTTGGAAGTTACATTAGATTTAATGGACGAAATAGAATAGAATTTCTCGAATTTTCTTAGAAGTTTCTTTAATAAGTTGTTTAAAAATATTCTAGTCTTTTATTTAGTTTCATTCAAAAGTCGTCGATTCAAAATTAATATTTGATCAAAAATTGTCGCTTTAAGTTCAATAAATCTCAATAACGAGACATTGTAGAGACTTCTAGTTTTTTACATTTGATCCGTACTGCTCTATAGAAGAGCTGTATTGTTTTTAGGCAAGGTAGGAACAGCCGTTGCTTCAGAAAAAGCAAAAAACTTTCCTTTCTTACGAATTTTTCAAATTAAAAGTTCACTGTGATTTTTTTTATTTTAAATTAAACTTTGGATGAAAAAAATTTTTTTGAGCAAAGAACCAAGAAGGAAATACATTTTCAATTTTGGACTAGGGACGACCCTAGTCAAAATCAATTTTGTCACTCTTTTCTTCGAGGGTTTATCCAAATGGATTGAAACTTTGCACAAATATTTTAATGCTTAAAACAAATACAAATAAAACATCCAAAAAATATTTTTGACCAAAATACACCATAGAAAATCAATTTTCAATTTTGGACTAGGGACGACCCTAGTCAAAATCAATTTTGTCACTTTTTTCTTTGAGGGTTTATCCAAATGGATTGAAACTTTGCATAAATATTCAAATGCTTGCAAAAATACAAATTAAACATCCTAAAATTTTTTTGAGCAAAGAACCAAGTAGGAAATACATTTTCAATTTTGGACTAGGGGTGACCCTAGTCAAAATCAATTTTGTCACTTTTTTCTTCGAAGGTTTATCCAAATGGATTGAAACTTTGCATAAATATTTTAATGCTTAAAACAAATACAAATAAAACATCAAAAAAATATTTTTGACCAAAATACACCATAGAAAATCAATTTTCAATTTTGGACTAGGGACGACCCTAGTCAAAATCAATTTTGTCACTTTTTTCTTTGAGGGTTTATCCAAATGGATTGAAACTTTGCACAAATATTTTAATGCTTAAAACAAATACAAATAAAACATCAAAAAAATTTTTTTGACCAAAATACACCATAGAAAATCAATTTTCAATTTTGGACTAGGGGCGACCCTAATCAAAATCAATTTTCTCACTTTTTTCTTTGAGGGTACATCGAAATGGATTGAAACTTTTCATAAATATTCTAGTGCTTAAAACAAATACAAATAAAACATCTTAAAATTTTTTTGAGCAAAGAACCAAGGAGGAAATACATTTTCAATTTTGGACTAGGGGCGACCCTAGTCAAAATCAATTTTCTCACTTTTTTCTTCGAAGGTTTATCCAATTACAGTGAAACTTTATGTGAGTATACTAATATTTATACAAAACAGTTATAAATATCTAAAGCAAAATATGTATTCTATATGTCGTCAGAGATACATTCAAAAACAACGTGACTTAAAATTTTGTCCAAAAATATGATTTTTATTAATTCAGAAATGTGTGACCTGAGGATTAGAATGCTCATACAAAGTTTAACTGTATTTGGATTAATCCTCGAAGAAAAAAGTGACAAAATTGATTTTGACTAGTTGATCAAAAGTCTTCGCCTTAAGTTTAATTTTTTTTTTGATAAAATTCGTCAATTTCAGTTCAGGTTTTGATCAAAATTCGTTGCTTTGAGTTCAATTTTGACTAGAAGTCGTCGCTTTGAGTTCAATTTTTTTTCGTTGATAAAATTCTTCAATTTAAGTTCAATTTTTGATCAAAAAGTAACTTAACGTTAATTTACATAAAATAAAGGAAACTCATAATTTAAAACATTAACGCCGTGCATAAACAACAAGGTTGATCTCATTAATTCATAAGCATCTCCACAATTCAATCTTGTAGTAATTTTCCATAGAAATCCCGACGTTCATCACCCCCTACTAATAAGTCATAATAGCACGCTACAAATTACACGACTAAAGGTTGATAAAGAAGAAGTAAAAAGCTAAAGCAAAAGGATTCAAAGCTACATCGAAATCCTTTCATCGTTATTCATCTTGTGTTTCAACATTTCACATGACATAAAAAGAAGGAGGAGAACGAAAAGGTATAGAAGGTAAAAGAAGATAAGACAAGCGTCGACAAGAAATGAAGGGAAAATTAAATGACATCACATAAAACTGCTTGTACTACTTTAATTGTTATTTACGTGAGTGTCGACATTTAATGAGAATAAACGCGATGAGAAGCTTTTTTTTAATCTACACACAGACAACAAACGCAAATGGATGAGGAAACAATGGAATTAAAATTTCTGTGTATTGTAAAATGAGTAGATGAAATTTATGTTGCCTTCAACAAGAAAATTTTACTTCCTTTACGTCGTCGTCGAAAATCAGATAGGATTCAAATGAATGTGAATGAAATTAAACATTTTCACAATTGTAGAGCGTCATGCAATGAGTATAGAAATGGTAATGATTGTATGTTAATGGTAATGTCGCATTAAAATCAAGAATAATTTAATTAAATTTTCAGAACTTAATTAAAATGCTTTTTAGTACGCATCTAAATACGAGAAAATGAGGTGGAAATGGATTGAACGTTTTTGAGCGCTTTTTTTTGGAGGTGATTAAAGTTAGATTTGAATGGAAATTGTTGAATTTTAATTATTGAATTATAATTCTGTGATGCAGAGGATTAAGCCAAAGTGAGATTAAAGCATCTGTGGCCGAATGGCTACAGATAGACTTACTTGATGTCACTTAACCTCTTTGTGAGGAAACGGGTTCGATTCCCACTAGAGGTTATAAAAGATTTTAAGATTTAAATTATTGCCCCAATCGGCACACATTGAAATGTTTGTCACCAGCCACTTAGTCAGGGGCGTAGCCAGAAAATTTTTAAGGGGGGGGCCCATTTTCGAAAATTAAAAAACCGTTATTTTGTATCCTTAAATCTATATTCATTCTTCATAAGTTTAAATATTTAATTCATTATTCATACATTAAATTTAATTTTTCGTGCTGATTTTGACATTTCTTTCATCACTTCCTCTACATTAACTGTTTC